ATATTTCGTAATTTATTTTGAATTATTTCGAATTTTCTTATGTAAGTTTACGTAATTTTGATATTTCACATTAATTCGAAATAGTTTACGCAATATTATGCTTTTTTTACGTTTCGTAAATTATTTCGAAATATTTCGCCTCATTAAATTTGCTGATATAGTAGGAGGAATTTTGCTATATAAAAGTTTTTCTTCACGTTCATTATCGAGATCTCCAACAATTAACAGAAAATAAAACAATATCATGGACTTCTTTATATAAGCATTATCTTGAGAAGATAAATTCTGATCTACCTGATCTTATTGATCAAACTGTAGATAATGAGAAAAGTAAGATTGATGATGATGACGACAATAATAAAATGATAAAAGATGACAAACAAGAATATCATGCTAAATAGATGCTTCTGGCAGAAATGAGACTGAATGCAACTATTGATGATTCTTCACCTATTAGATCATGTAGCTATGGATATAAATTATGATTGGGTTAGCAATAGTAGGCATCTATGTTCAAATATTGATATTATGGATACTAGCATTTTTGTACAACAAGCTTCTAGCAATACTAGGGCAAAAAACAATAAGAATTTAGTTTCTAAAAATATAGACTATGAAATGTTAAACAAAAAGCAGAAAATAGTACTCAATCGAATAAAATCACATTACTGTAACATCCTTGAAGGGTATCAGATTGATCTATTAAGAATAATCATAATGAGAACTACCGGTACTAGAAAATCGTACCTTATCAAAACAATTTGAACATTATTGAATACAATTGCTGGAGCAGAAGTTAATTCACCATTACTTGTGCTCACTTCTACAGGAGTTGCAGCATTTAATATTAATAGATTAACAATCAATTTGGCACTTTCAATTCCTATATGTACTAAAAATTTTGATATAGGTGGTGAAAAGTTAAATCAGTTACAAGAAAGATTACAGAATGTGAAGTATATAATTTTAGACGAGAAAAGCATGGTGGGGCGCAGAATGATTGCTTTAATCGATATGCGGCTACACTAGGCCTTTCCTAAATGTAGAAATGAACTATTTGGTGGTTGATCTATTATTATGTTTGGAGATTTTGGACAACTTCCTCCTGTTTTAGATCTTTCTATGTATACAACCAACATATTACGAGACCCAGTGTCTAATGATAGTCTTGTAGCATATACTTAATTCAAAGAAGTATACAAACTTGATGTTATTAAACGTCAATCAGGAAACTCTGAAGGACAAAGGATATTTAGAGATATTCTTTTACAGTTACATAATGGTGAGTTGACCTTATTAGATTGGGAAACACTAACCTCATGATTCGAAGATAAAATAATTGGCATAGAAAGACAACAATTTTTAGAGGCTATTTTTATATCACCAAAGTGGTCTGATGTTGATAAGATTAATTTAAATAAACTTATATCTCTGAACCATCCTGTTGCTAAAATACTTGCTGTACATACTGGTGGTCTTGAAGCAAAGAGAGTAAACTTAGATGTGGTGATGGATTTAGAAGTGTAGCTATTATTAGCAAAAGGTTTACATATAATGCTAACAGCAAACTTATGAACAAGAGCAGGTTTAGTAAATGGTGCAATTAGAACAGTTCAAGATATTTTGTATAATGAACATAGACCACCTTATCTTCCTATAGCTGTTCTGATTTTCTTCAAAAGATATAATAGGCTCACTATTACTACAATAGAAGATATAGAAGTAGTTCCAATTGCATCTATTTGACATACATGGGAGGGTAAAAATAGATCAATATGCTCACTATTGCAGATTCCCATTTGTCTTGCGTGGGCTATTACAGTACATAAGAGTCAAAGCTTTACACTTTTGAAAGCTATAATAGACCTTGGGAATAAAAAATTTGCAGCTAGACTTTCCTTTGTAGCAGTATCTTGGGTTCATAGCATGAATGATTTTGTCTTCAAATTATTTAATTTTGAAAGGTTGCAACATATCAAAAATTGCAGGAGGATCCAGGAAAGAAAAGACGAAAAAAAATAGCTAATCTCTATGATAGCGTAAAAGGAATAATTTAATAAAGCATAAAGTATAAATTTAGAATTAGTATATACATTTGATGTATTATTACAAGTAAAAGTTTTGATTTATTTTTTGCAAAAGCATACTATATTTTTATATTCTTGTATACCGTACAAACATAGCGGTTTTAATTTTGATTGTTTAATCATCAAATATATTATCACATATTACACCACATATATCATTTGACTTTAAATGAATTGGCTGCCATGAAAATAGCAAAAGATTTGACACGAAACTACACCTTTTATTCTACCTATGTACAGTAAAAAATAATTCAAAAAGCATGCGAATAGTTCAGAAGTTATTGACAGATTGCACTTTTTGTCATATAGGTTAAGGTATTTTAATAATCAGCAAGGTAATTTAACAATTGGCAAGATATTCAACAATCGGCAAGATAATTCAATAATCGGCAAGGTATTTCAATATTTGGCAAGGTAATTCGATAATCAGCAAGGTAATTAAATATTCGGCAAGGTAATTCGGACCTTGGCTAGCTTTTTTTAAAACCTTGAAAATAGCGATTCAAACAACAATACTTACAGTTAGTTTTTAACATTTACTGAATATAGGTTATTCGACTAAGTTTCAAAAAATACAATATAGTAGATATATTGTATGTGCAAGATATATATAAGCACTTTCTTTGTCCTATAGTTAATGTTTGGTTTTTTATATTGTTCATACTCTTCTTGTACATATATTACTTTATAGATAGTTGATGGTTTTTTTTTAATTTATGTTCTTCAGTATTTATTTCATTATTAAACTATGTATATATTAGCAGTCACAGGATATGTCCATATAATTGCTATTACTTATAAATCAAATAAGTTAACTCACCCAATTTTATATGTAAATTTATGCAAAAAAATTATTTAAATTTAATTTTTGTAAAAATATACATATAAACCTTTTTTTAAACTTAAAATATATATTCTTTAGCATTTAATGATCTTTAGTTTTAAGCCAAAGTTTTTAATCTCTAATAGTTTGTCTTGAATCTTCCTTTAAAGTTGGACAATTCTTTACTATATTCTTTAAGTCAAATAACTGACACACCTCTGTACAATAATATGATTGGTTAAAATAATCTTTTAAAAATTAAAGAAGATTCTACTAAGTAAAAGTTTCTTTTAGCTTTAAATAAAGTTGTAGAGGAGATTCTTCTAGTTCTAATGGTAGTTAAATCAATAAAATTAGCTTGGTGAATCCTAAGATACTTGGAGTCAAAGAAGAGAATATAAGGATCTGCAAATTTACTGTTATACAAAGTATTATCCCTTAGATTGTAGTAGAATACAGGCAAATTTGCCTGCGTTTTTACACTTTTTTAGCTCTGATTTACT